GGCAGGACCTCTGGACCCATGGAGAGAGTAGCCCAGGCTGGAGCAGGTTTGCGGGCAGGACTTGTGACCTCATCAGGGACCCATGCTGGAGCAGTGTGTTCCTGAAGGACTGCACCTTGTGGAAAGGACCCATGCTGGAGCAGTTCATGAAGAACTGCAGTCCGTGGGAAGGACTCACATTGGAGAAGTTCATGGAGGACTGTCTCCTGTGGGAGGGACCCCACGCTGGAGCAGAGGAAGAGTGTGAGGAGTCCTCCCCCTGAGGAGGAAGGAGCAGCAGACACAACGTGTGATGACCTGACCACAGCCCCCATTTCTCGTCCCCCTGCGCTGCTCGGGGGGAGGAGGTAGAGAAAATCAGGAGTAAAGTTAAGCCCAGGAAGAAGAGAGGAGTGGGGGGAAGGTGTTTTAAGATTTGGTTTTATTTTGTCATTATCCTACTCTGATTTGCAATAAATTAATAAATTAAATTAATTTCCTTGAGTTGAGTCTGTTTTGCCCATGACAGTAATTGCTGAGTGATCTCTCCCTGTCCTTATTTCAACCCATGAGCCTTTCATTATATTTTCTGTACCCTTTCCAGCTGAGGAGGGGGAGTGATAGACCGGCTTTGGTGGGCATCTGGCATCCAGCCAGGCTCAAGCTACCACACCAGATCATTTAGTGAGTCTGGTGGATCAGACTATGTGTTTGTCCTCTGCCCATACTGAGCATCAGAACTCTCCCAAGAATAGTGCAGTATGTACGCTGAAAGGACATTGTACAATTCCCTTCTCCTCAGAGACAAATTTCTTCTTAATCCTTATCATTCCATGATTACATTTTGCCTTGAAGCGCTTATATATTTTATAAGTGTTTATACTATGTCCACAACAGTCCAGAGCTCTCTTAATAACATTTACATTAAAAAAATTAAAACCAAAAAGACATGATTAGGACAACCTAATCAAGTTCAAATTAGATCAACGCATTCTAGGAACATATGTAGCAGGTTTCCTGGACACGCGGTCTCTCCCGAGCCTGGGTGCTCCCTAAGGTCCTGCTCCACCAGGACCATCCCACCAGCACTGTAACGTGCAAACAGCAACAGCAGTGCAGAACCCAACCATTCCTGGTAAATCCCACTGTCACCAGACGGGATCAAAGGCTTACAGACTCACAGCCACTCCAGCTTTTTAAAAAGTATTATCAGGTTTGCTTGGGTTTTGGAGCTAATTCCTGAAAGATCTCAGCCTCCCCTTCCCCCTTCCCCGTCCAGACACTCGAGGGCAGCGAGAGCATCTCAAATCTGCGCCACCAAACGCTCCAGCACTATGTCTGCAAGGCCTCATCATCCCAATACTGTCGGCAGGTGCCAACTCAAACAAGAAACAGTGAGCACAGCGCAGATGGGGGAAATGGGCTTCTCCCCACGCGCCGACGGAGACGGAGTGGCGCGTGGCACCAGCCCGGCAGCCCCTCCTTACCCGAGAGGCACTGAGCCGGGACGGCCGACCGCTGCAGGTGCAGAAAAGCCACGGAGCTCGAGTCTCCCCACAGATTTCCTATGTTCCTTCCAAAGTCACAATATTTTAATTGATATTTCTTGTGAGAATTCAACAGGTGCAACATAAATCCCATGGATTGTGCTGAATCCCACAAAACCTTGACTTTCATTTTGGAAGGAGCCAGGCGGGGGGAGAGGAGTTTTCTTGCTCTTTGGGTTTTCAGCCTTGAGCTACATGGGACATAAAAAATGCTGTATTTGCTCAAAGTGCTGCCAGATTAAAATAAGCAGCTATTCATCTTATTTTTCTGAAAGGATGGTTAACTCATTGAGAAAAACTCATTGACTGTAAAAACACATTCAATTATAGCAGAATTACAGAATAGACAAACTTGGCTTTTCCTTATATGCCCTGGAGTCGGGGGGCAAAAGCTCCTACATCCATTTCTGCCCCTTCACACATACTCGGCAAAGCAGATGGGACAGCAGCAGTGTCAGGAAGAGAACCTCTGGATTTATGGATACACACCAGAACCCTGTTAAAAGCAGTTAACAGACCCATTCTGCCATGGTTTTAGTTATCAGGTGAAAGGTACTAGAGGTAACGCAGGTAGATGTCACAGCATATGATTTCTTTAGCAGTAAGTCATGATATATCTCTTCTTGGTTTACTCTCTACTTGACCAATGGCTCAATATCTTCAGGGCTCAACATGGTTCATAGATAAACAATGAAGGAGGCAGATGTTGGAAAGAAAGACAGTCTTCTGCTTCCCGTTTTTGCAATTGTCCATGTATAATATTTCTCTAAGAAAATTCCTGATAAGGGTTTGCTAGAAGGTTTGGAGGTTTTTTTGCTTTTGCATAAGTTTTATAAAATATTTATCCATCCCAAAACTTCAGACCACCTAAGAAGACCGTATTACTAGCACTTAGAAAGTGAGCAAGCTGATAAACTGCAAATCTCTGTGTTCTTCTCCACACTCCTGTAGCCACTTCTCTGCTCTTTTACCTCATTTGCAGCTTGGTTTGAGTGCCTGTCATGGGTCCTGCACTGGTGCCAGGCTCATCTGAGAGTCCCCTGTAGGAAAGAACATAGGTCTGTCTGCTGACAGATGTCTATCAACTGATGGATGATGTTTACACCTTTAGGAAAAAAAGCTTAATCAATACGAATGCTTAGCACCACAACAACAGCAACAATAAAACTACTGGTAGTAGTAATATAATGCTAACATTGATAATAATAACGAAGAATTTTACTGAGAACATACTGAAGATGTTTAAATCCTAGAATATTAATTTCACTCAGCACAGTAAGACATGATTTTTAAAGAAGAAATAACAAACTAGGTAGAAAGGACAATCTCTCCATTCTTTCCATTACATGTACCAAAGGAGAAGAAATGGTGGTTTTGTTTTATTTTTCCACAGAAAAACTGAGATCTTTCACTGAGGATGAAAAGTTGAAATCTCAAAAATTTTAGTAAATTAAAATGTAAACCAACCCAAACCACAAAATACGGATCAACACAAGCAAAACACTTACCTTACTCCTCCTTTGTGCCTGTTGTCTACACCTTGGCTTAAAAGCAGACTGAAAAAAGTCTCATTTAAAAAAATACATTGAAAAATAAAGGAAAACTTCGAAACTTTAGGTCTTTAAATGTATTATTCTGACTTTCTAAACATTTTTTCACAATTTTTAAACAAAAAATGATGAAAATGGATGTTCTGCAACTGACAGTGCACGTTCATGAATCCAGAATTTTTGACAAAAAGATAATTTGGGGAAAATTCCTGCATAATTGTAAGTCCTCTTTGCCCTGCTCTAAAAGCCCAAGGATCTCTAATACCTGTGTCTTTTACCGCGTGGGTCCCAGAACATATCACCATGGGAGTCAGAATCATTATCCTCATTTCCTATGTTGGAAGACTGAGGGACTTGCCCCAGGACGAGCAGCAGACCAGCCGTGGAGCTGAAATGAGAACTTTCCCCTGCTAGTCCCAGCTTGGTGCTCTTTGGTCTTTGCTGTGTGACCAAAAAAATGGGTCTCTGAACTGATAGTTTAGCCCTGAGATGGGATCGATACACCTGGTTTTGGAAGAGACGGTGACAGTAAATTCCTGCTCTGAGGAGCAGAAGACCAGCACTTCTCCAGACAGAATTGCTGTCCAAAGAGTCCCTCCTCATTTCCCCCTAACAAAACGGATTTATCTGCATTTATAAAGAACACAAAGCTGAGTGAATGCTACCTAAAGTTTAACTAGGGAGCAAATGGAAAGTTTAGATAAAAGTCTTTTGAGGAAAAATAATGAGCAGAATTACAGTAGAAACAGTTGCTATATGGATAAGGCAAAATATTTGACAAGGAAAACATCTCTGAGAAGAAAGGACAAGGGTAGAGCTATTATAGCCTCTGAGGCCTTTTCCCTCAGACTTCTTATTTTATAACATATTTCTAAAACACAACACCCACAACTGTTTTTCTTCATCTATCAAAGCATAAAATTGCCAGTCCTTTGACCTAACTTAAATGAAGGAAGTAGCAATGTTAGGTTTAATTAAAAACAGCAAATATTTGTACAGCTGTCCCTGGTTTCACAGCACAGAAATAGGTTTAGCATCAAATCTTACAGTTTTAAGTCCTCTGGGAACCATATACAAAAACATATAGGATCCTTCTGGCTGACTTGCCAAAGCCAGAAATGCCTTTTTTTTGGAGTTATTTCAGGTGGGGCTCATTCAGCCTTCCCGTTTCCAACCCACTGTTTTCCTACTTGAGATTTTTTTTTTTTTCCTTCTTTTTTTCTGTGCTCCAAACGCGATACTGTCAGCTTGACAGGTTTGGATGCATTTGATGCATTTTGGGGTTGTGAATAATAATAATAAATAAAACTGAGGGTAGGCTAAGAAGTTTTGACTTATCAGCAGCCATAGCTTTTTTGGGGAAAACCCTGATGGTTGGACCCAGCTGGGCATTTCCAGGGGTCTCTGCCTCTCAGTATGGGTGTCACTGGGAGGCACCTGGCGTGGGATGCAGGAGCATCAACCAGATCCATGCCGAATATCCCCTAAACCAGAAGGGGTTTGGAATGAAAGGTTTTGCTCCTGGGCCCTTTCTCTCCTTTTAAATTACACATTGAAAAATGCTGTAAAATCCTTCAGCAGTGAGCTTTATAACACAGCCTCCGGAGACCTGACTCCGTGCACACCCCATCCCCTCAAATGGGCCAGCCGTGGCAAGCCCAGTCCCAGCAGGGACCACGGGAGGATTTACACCATCTCATCCAAAAAGTTCGGCAGCTCCGAGCTCTGCTCCCCACCCATCCCTCCTGGGGACCCGCAGGTTTCAACCTGCCAAAGCCAGCCTGGGTGGGGGCTGGAGATGCCGGTGGGGTGGGCGGCCACCCACAGCAGGGCCAGAGATAAGAGGGAAGAGGGAGGAAAGGGGCCAAACTGGGATTAAAAAGCCGCACCCAGGTCTGGAGTGGGAAGGGCGGTGGGAAGGCTGATGGCCAGTCCAGCTGCTCTGCTGGTGTCCATCAGGCACCAAGCAGGGGCTCTCCACACACTCCGGGCTGTCGCAGCCCCCCATCCTCCCCACAGCCTCCCACAGCCTTCCTGCACTCAAACCTTCAGCTCCAGCAGCGTTGGCCCAGCTTGGCACAGCCCGGGAGAGGAAATGGAGGTGTCCAAGCCTGGTGGGGCTCAGGAGTTGGAGGAAGAGAGAAAAGCCCCAGGGAAAAGCCCCAAGGAAGGAGAAGAGAGTGGAGACCTATCTCGTCTCAGCCCAGATGAACCCAGGCCAGAGAGGCTGACCCAGCCAGGGCTGGCGAGGTGTGAGACGCTTCGAGAGATGGCTCTGCATAGCAAGATGTCCCGACTAGTAGAAGCGACTTCTCGGCTCATACAAGTAGAACAGACTCTCCTGCTCCCTCTCCTACAGCAGCATCCTCTTTCTTTCCACCCAAAAGTAAGTAAGAGAGAGACAGAAGTACACTTCTTTTGGGCTTTTGGCAGAAGGGCAGTGGACTGCACCCATAATTGCACGTGCTGGCTCTTGCCAAGCGGACTGGAAGAGTTTCATTTACATTAATTTTCAGTTAAGTAATTTAAGCTTACAGCCTGCAAAACAGAAAGCTACTGACAGTTCAGGGTAGTTGCATCACAGGGATTCAGGGGATAAAAACACTTTTTGGCAGAATGAAGTCTTACTGACATGCTGAGTAGCCTGGAAAGATTATTTAGGGCTTTTTCAGAAGCCAGTTTTATATGTCTAAATTTCTATAAATGCACATAAAGTCTTAAACTAAAAAGCTATTCACCAGTTCTAAAAGAGCCAAAAACCAACCCAAGATGCAGAGATGACCAGTAACCTGAAAGTGAAACGTGACTGACCCACAGATCCCGCAGCTGTTCTAGATTGACACACTATATATCCAGCATATAAGACCCAATGAACATATACGTGAATAAACCCCTCAATTTTCCATTAAATACAATGGTTATGCATATTCCCCCAGGAAGAAGTCTAAGAAAAAGCGTAGGTATGGGCTTGCAATTCATTGACTATTTGGAGTTCAATATGTCTCCTATGTCTTGATTCTTCCAGCTTCCCAGTTTATGTTGGCATTGCCCAAAAGGTCTTTACCTTATGATGAGTCTTGGGTGCACCATGTAGAAGAAGATGGCAGTTCTTATCCAATTTTTAGTACCAAACATGCATTCCAAAGAAACCCAATTATTAGTAGACATCAATTTGTGGACCAGATGAACTAAATCTCAAATCTGCTCTTTTACTTTCATGCCAACCTTCCTAGCCCAGACCGGCACAATGTAGGAAGATGGGGGATACCGAAGCAGTAAAGATGTAACCCCTTAAAGTCTTATGTGGTGGGCAAATATTTATGAACAAAATTTTGCTATGACATCTGGTTTCTCAGTCCCTTGGTGATGAATTTGAGATATTGCATTATACTGTTTTCATGTGTGTTAGAGCAATGTACAGAGTCCAGCTGGCTTTGTGATAGTTCACAATTTGTTAAAAATCAAATCCAAGCTATCTCAAGTCAAGACACAACTCACCCATAAACTCAGTCACCAAAAATCAGAAGCATCCTTTGAACGTTTGGGTCCAAATAGTTTCAGTTTCCAGGAATAACCATCTAGAGTCCACTACGAATAAATATACCTAGAGATGGAAGGGGCGATATTGGAAGCTATGCATGACATAAAAAGTGTGTTAAAAATCAAACAAAATTTTTAGACATTATTCTTCAAAAATGAGGTACAGTGACAGGTTGGAATTCTGCAATACCAGTTTTCCAGTAAGACTTCTTCATTGCTTGTAATTTAAAATAAACAAGGCTAATGACATTTGGGTTTTGTACAAACAAATGCTAGCTTGATGAAATACAGCCACCTCAACAAAAGTTTTATTTTCTTCCTCTTCTTTCCCAGAACTACTTTAATATCTGCTTGTATGAAAGCATGTGCTCAGATACCACTGGGAATACAGTTCACTTTGGATTCTGATTTTCCTATTCTACTTGAAGCTAAGTGAGGTCCTTTTTTCACTGAAAACCCATTATCATGGCCCATTGAGCTCTGGGACTTTCCCTCCTTACCTCCTACAATGAGGTTACATAAATTCTGCACTAAGTTTCCTCAGACCCTTCGTCACGGATAACCGACTCCTTTAATTGCGAGTAGTTTCACTGCTGCAGATTTGATTTTGAAGTAAATTGGATTCCAAGGGATCCATTTATATTATAACCTGTTCATAAATTCAGATGAACAAGCCCTTAAAAAGAAGCTGTAAGCCAATGAGTTGGCCAAAGTCCCTTCAAAATGGCAGCCTTTGGTAGCATGTCCTTCCACTCACTGCTTTTGAAGGAAAGATCTGGGTTTATGTCTCAGACACACTCACTCATACTACCAGTCAATATTTGATAATTCTCACTTATTGCTACAGTCATGTCTCTTTCAGTTCCTTCTTGACAACCCTGACTTTCCTGTTTTCTGTTTATTTTGTGGTTGTTCCTTGTTTTCATTTTATTGGTTCATGGTATCGGTATCGGTTTATCAGCTGAACTGTTTCCAAAAATCACTCTATAAAATGGTCCCAAAACAGACAGACACAGGCTCAAAGGAAAAACAGATTCAAGGAAGGGGAAGGACAACACTGAAATAGCCCATTCCCTGTGGGCACTGAGAACAACTCTTTCTGCTGCGTCCCAGTGCCTGTTAGGCAGTGCTAGTCCCCACCAATTAAAAGCTGGGTGTTAATTTCTGACAAACAGTGACATCCTCGCGAGAATTTGGAGCAAACCCTTTGGTAGCGACAGCAAGCACTCCGTTACTGGTTTTGCCCTGTAGTACAGCTACAAAGAGCGTCCTTAGCCAAAAGGTCCGCGTGAAGATGGGGAAGGATGAAGCGCCTCTTTCTCCCCGGTCCTGGGACCCAGGTGACCATGTCACCCCGCTGCCTGACCAGCTGTTCACTGGCATCGCACCCACAAGCACCCCCCCACACACACTTCGGCCTCCACAAAGATGCCCTGTAATAATGTCCATGTTTTCTCTCCCCCCTAATTACACGCTGCCAAAGCGAACAGAACAGCCTTTTTTTTTTTTTATTTTATTTTTTTTTTAACAGAGATTCTGTATTTTAAGCAGCAATGTGAGTGCATTTGAAAAGGAAAAATACAAGGTATGAAAGCTTCCCGAAATAGCAGCGTGCGGCTTGCCCTGGCTGTGCTCAGGTGCAGCTATGCATTACTCCAGCTTTTTGATAACATCCTGTCTCCTGCGCCGAAGTTACCGAGGGGTCGCGAGGACGGTACTAAATCAGAAATGTGTAGCGGATTGGACTGGGCCAATCCCAACGGCAGCCAGCAGGGAATGGAATATAAATCACGCTAAGAAGTTAAAATAGCCACCCCATTTGCAAAACAGTCATGGTATTTTCTTTAAGGGGGAAAAGAAAATAGTGTCTTTAAAGGTGCCAGATTGGCAGGGCGGGATAATAAAAAAAACCTTCTGACTGTGCAAGTTTCTCCTGCCCCTGTGCTACAGTGCCGCTGCTCTTGCTGGTGCAGAGGAAGAAGGTTGGGGCGGCAGTCTCAGCGCTCCTTGCCGAAAGGAGCAGCGTCAGCAGGCCTGCCCATCCTCCCGCAGTCGCTTTGCCCTGCATCTCCTGTGAGGGTGAAACAGTGCAGTTGTTGTGAAATCAGCCCGGTGGCACTTCATTTGTACCCAGACCGAGTCACAGCACCGGCACACAAGTGATGGCATGAAGGCAGCCTCGCTAGGCTTCCCGCCGGCAGGCAAGGTGACGGTGCAGTGCCTCTGCTAAGCCTGCCCACAGCAGAGCCAGCTACGGGCTTTGTTTTCCTGCTATACCGAGACCCATCCCTGGGGAACAGACCAGAAAACACCAGTTCACTGCAGGCCAAAGGACAGCCCAGCATCGGGGCATCGCTGACTTTGGCCACAGGTGAACCGAAGAACTGGAGATGTCCTGCTCCTCAGGAGAATAGCAGCGAGGGGTGGTGCAGCTCTGCCGACAGCTCTGCTGGTTGTTTAGCACCCTGTAAGCCCAGGGCTCTTCACCTGGGGAACACGCACTTTTTGGGGGAGGAATATGGAACGGGTGGCTGTTGCTAGATGACATTTCTAGTGGTAGTTGATAAGCTTGCTTTCTGGTTGCTGATTTCCTGATACAAATCAGAGGTCGGTGCTCAGTAGCAAAGTGACTCCTTCTTCCTTGTGCAAGAGATCTGAAGACTGATTCATAAATAATGGCTTAGGGGTGACGGAAACGAGATAAATTGCTTTCATTAGAATTCGCATAAAACAGCAGCAGAGTCCCTGCTTGCCACCACGGATTGAACAAATGTGCCAGCATGCATGTTTTTCATTTTGCAGCCACTGATATTATGAAGTTGTTCCCAGACCTAATAGCTTTGAATGTACATTTTTTAAAGTAATTAATATGAAGGGTGATCCTGGAAAAAATTGCCTCACCCTTCATAAAGTTATTTACAAGCTGTAGGCATCAATGCTCGTTTGTGGGGATATGTTTTTACATACTGACAAACAGACGATTTGAAGTTCTTCAAGTGAGGAATTGCCTCTGAGGTCTTTCTGGAAGCTCAGAGGAAATATGCTTAGGTGGTTCCATTTTATTAATATGATAGTGCTGTACTCCACATGCATCTGCACCTGCTGTGTTAGAAAGAGGCTTTGCAGCAGCAAACCACAGAATGAACTACACTAGGGGTTTGGGGGATTTATTTATTTTTATTTTTTTCCACAGGAATAGTAACTTTGCAAGAAAGTATTAACTCCACTGTTCTTGGTGGTACATGTCTTAGGAGATATGCACTTAGGAGATATGCACTTCCAAATGCAAGTGTTTTAGAAAAGAACAGATGAGAGATGGTTACAGACTTGAGGCAGGACTTACCGTAGAATCATAGAATGGTTTAGGTGGGAAAGGACCTTGAAGATCTTTGAGTTCCAACCCCCTGCCATGGGCAGGGACACCTCCCACTAGACCAGGTTGCCCAAGGCTGCGTCCAGCCTGGCCTTGAACACCTCCAGGGATGGGGACTCAACAACCTCTCTGGGCAACCTGTTCCAGTGCCTTACAACCCTCAAAGTGAAAAACTTCTTCCTAATGTTTAATCTAAACCTGCCCTCTTCCAGTTTGAAGCCATTACCCCTCATCTTGTCACTACATGCCCTAGTAAAAAGTCCTTCCCCAGCTCTCCTGTAGACCCCCTTTAGGTACTGGAAGGCCGCAATAAGATCTTCCCAGAGCCTTCTCTTTTCCAGGCTGAACAGCCCCAACTCTTTCAGAAAATCTGAATTCAGAAAATTTGAAATCTCTTTCTGAAATCTGCCCCAGGGAGATTTCCTGAAGACTGAGCGGCTCAAGTTGTGTTCCCTTTAGGGTCATCAGAGAGA